TTTCTTTTTGTATTTCAATGGTGGGATTTTTTTTCCCTTGGTTTATATTTTGCAAAAAAAAAATTCATTAATAAAAATTTCAATTAATTTACTTAAAGTCGCGACTAGAGTTAATAGGTCCCCAAGGTAATTAAATTTATTCCAGGTTTATCCAAAACAAATTTGAGAATTAATTTATCATTTACCAAATAGGTCTTCGTAACGATGGTCGGCGCGTTCAGGAATTACGTAAAATAAATTGTAAACCTTCCGTACTAAGTCAGGCTGACGGCTCAGCTTACATTGAGCAAGGAAATACGAAATGTTTGGCTGCCGTTTATGGACCTAGAGAGGTATGTAAATTCTTTAGACATGAACTTTAGAAGAATTATTTAATTGAAATGGTATTTTCTCATTTGTTTAATTGCAGGCAAGAACAAAAGCTCAAGTACTTCATAACAGGGCAAACATTAATGTAGAGATTTCTTTAGCTCCATTTTGTATGAGTGAAAGGAAAAAAAGATCCAAATCTGACAAGTAAAAACAAATATTTTAATTTATTTTTCTTTTATGTAATGCTTATGAATTGACACAATTTTTCTTTTATCATCATTAGGCGTATACTAGAAATCGCGTCAGCGGTAAAACAAACATTTGAAACAATTATAAAGACAGAATTGTTTGCCAGGTCTCAAATTGATATTTATCTACAAATTTTACAATTTGATGGAGGTAAGTCTCTGGAAAACGAGACTTCAAATTACGTGAAATATATAAATTCAATTTTTTTTTTTTTTTTCAAGGCACGATTCAAATTTGTATAAATGCAGCAACATTGGCATTAATCGATGCGGGTATACCAATGGTGGATTATGTTTGTGCTTGTTCGGCTGGATGTATAGATGATGAACCAGTTTTAGACTTGAATTATGTCGAAGAATCGCATGATACACCAGAATTAACCGTGGCTTTATTACCGAAAACTGGTAAAATTACTTTGTTACAGGTAAGGAGAAAATATGGGTATAAATTTTTATTTCAAACGGGTTAAAATCTTTTTCACTTATCATAGATGGAATCTCGATTACATGTTGATAAATTTCAATCAGTCATGGAAATGGCAACTGTTGGATGTAAAAAAATTTACAATATTTTGGATGATGTCGTTAGAGAAAATGTGAAAAATTTACTTGAAAAGAAAAAGTAATGAGCAGATGTGGGTTTTTATAATCAAAAAGGAAAGAGATTAAAAAATCAAGAAAGAAATTGTTTGTTTTAATGTGTTTATTTTTTGCCTACAATGCGTTTAAATGTTCCCATGATTGGACCTATGATTCTCTCAGCGGTCCATGGAGTCATCCATACACAAGCTGCGATACGTAAAGGCATTATCGCCTTACAAAGGAAAAAGAAAAAAAAAATTTATATCCAGAACTTTATTACGTAAGCGAGAAATAAATTGATGTTTCTCCTCATAAATTTGAATACCTTAACGACGGCATAACTTGTAGCAGCATTCAATGCGATTTTACTCCCATTCTCAAAAGGCGGATAACCATAATAAGTGACCACCTTATTAATAAATTTATTTCCTTCATCAAGTACTTGTTGAGGAAAAGGGATTTGGATACCTGTAGTGGAAAGGAAAATATAAACTAATGGTATAGGAATTATAGCCGTTAATTCATGTAAAATTGCAAATGAAGTAATATATGATCCAGGTTTTGAACGAAATTGAGCCGCGTATTTACGCCAGCCTTTTAAAGTTTCAGTTTGAGTAGAAGTCGTTTGTTTCGAAGTTGTTAGTTTGCGACGTATTAAAAAAGAATTGGTCAATGAATTAGGATTTGAATCATATAATCGAATCGCATGAATGGAAAGTTTGTTTTGATTTAAAATGCGAAAGTTGCGCGTTGTTTTTAAAGACATTCTCTTTAACCTTGGTTCGCTTCTGTTCCTTGTTCCGGTTAGTCAAAATATTTACTGAATTTCGATTGGTAATTTGAGAACAGGATCTGGTATAGATCGTGCAATGACAAAAAAAAATTATAAATATAATCAAAATCATAAACTTTCTCAAAAATCTCCATTCAGTTATATACTTCATGATTGCAAAATTACAGTATAATTTTCATTTTTTAAACGAAAATGAATTTGATAATTAGAATCCTTCGATAATCTCACGTGAAACATGCAAGAAATCGCTCAAAAGTGTGATGCACATATTTTAGCTAATGCGACATCAATTTTTTTTTTTTTGCGTTCACGACGAAACTAATTAATAATTTAGCCAATCAGAAATTCAATTGTTCTGAAAATTTGATTGGATAATGATGTTTTTGAATTTGATATTCGAACAGCAAAATAGAACGATTCTGTTTCACCCAGCTTAATTGTGAAACTGGAAATTTTATCAAAAACCACATATAACCTTAAATTCTATATAACTCAAAATTCTTCTTCAACCTAGTTATAAAAATTTATTTACAATGAAAGCGACATTATTCATACCTAAAGCACAACATAATTCTTGTTCTCTTTTATTATTTCATATCACGAAAATATATCCTTGTGTCCAGAGTTATAACTCACTTGATGCTATTCCTATCCAATTAAAAGGAAGACACAGTCACAACAGGAATAGAAGAACAAAATTCGCCCACGAGATTGATAATATCTCGTGGTGCCAAATAGGTTGTGAAAACAACAAAAAATGCCTCAAGCGATGGAATAGTTTGAAGCGTGTCAATCTCGGAAAGCTGGAGTTGACATTCGTAGAAGATATAAAGCGTATCGTAGACTATTAGAAAGAGACATTCCTATATTAAATATGTTCCTGATGGAACAACTAAATAAACATAAATAATCGCTCCCCAAATATATACACCAATTGTTTTTCATAGGGGAGTTGTAGAAAATTCTATTTGCTTATCTATAATATGTAGTCGCGCCAAGACGACGACATATTTCTTCAACTCCCCTTTCTTCCATCCCCCCCCCCCCTTTCAGTTCCCACTCCTGTAATTCTTGTTAAAAAAATTCTAGTAGTAGAAAATTTTATTTGCTTATCTATAATATGTAATTCTTGTTAAAAATTGTTATAATAAAATTTATGAATAATTTTTAAAGGAAAATGAACCTTTGAGATCGATAATGTTCTATCCTTAGGACCCGGTCCTAAGATTCTGAATTCCCGAATAAGTTTATAATAAATAAATATTATGATACTAGATAATGCCAGTAAAATAAAATTCTTCTCTAGAGCTGGCGACAAACGAAGCTGTTATAACCATCTAATCAAGGAATTAAACTCCTGAAACTTTAACCGGTTACATCAAATTTAACTTCATGATGTTCTTCGTGAATTCAAGAACAAGATCATTCTATGAATATATTGATGCTGGTTTCAAGGTAATAATAAGGCATTCTAATACCATGTCGGAATTATCAGCTAAAGCCACTCTTGATGGCTTTCTATCCTTTAATCTTTTCGGATAAATGCCTTTTATTAAATAAATTAAATCAACGATATGCTTGAATAAAATTGTCATAATTAAAAAAAAAATTTCTTACGGTAGCATTTGTCTCTGTCAAAAATTTACGCTCCTATTCACAATTACATTACTTTCGCTGGAAAATGAGTTCCCATTTTATTAAAAAAAAATAAAAAAATTTTTTTTTCTCGTGATGAAATAACTTGGGAGATTCATGGATCCTCGTTACGCAACATTGATGATCATCAATCACTATAAAAAAAAAATTTTTTTTTTTTTTGTTCAATCTTTCAATTTCATTAAAAAAAAAAAAAAAAAAAATAGTTTCTCAGTTATATAGAAGCACACAATGGTAAGTTTAAATGTTTTTATTTTGACATCCATTATATAATTTAATACAATAGATATTTCCTTCTAAAATCAATGTTCAATATCTTTGATTATTCAGAGTAAAAAACAAAAGAAAGTTAAAGTTGAGGAAAATATCTCACTTGGACCACAAGTTCGAGAAGGAGAACTTGTATTTGGAGTGGCACATATATTTGCTTCATTTAACGATACATTTGTTCATGTAACTGATTTATCCGGAAAAGAAACTATCGTTCGTGTTACCGGTACGTTATAATTTGAAATTATAGTTTTTTTTTTTTTATATATATAACTGATTATCATGAGGGAAATATAAATTGGATATTAACATTGTTGGAAAAAGAACTTACCTATTCTTAGTACAACTTTGAAATTCAATTAAAGATATATTCCATATATATGGGACTTAGTGGTGAAACACATACTCCCATGAAAGAATACTGATCAATAATTTTTTTCCCAAATTGTCAATATTTTTTTTGGGAAATCTATATTTCTTTTTTTCCTCCCTTCCCTCGTTACATATAAAGGTGGCATGAAAGTGAAAGCGGACCGTGATGAATCATCACCATATGCAGCTATGTTGGCTGCTCAAGATGTAGCAGTGAAATGTAAAGAATTGGGGATTTCAGCTTTACATATTAAATTACGTGCTACGGGTGGTAATGGTACAAAAACTCCTGGTCCTGGAGCTCAATCTGCTTTAAGAGCTTTAGCAAGAGCTGGTATGAGAATTGGTAGAATTGAAGACGTCACACCCATTCCTACTGATAGCAGTAAGTATCTTTTTTTGCAAAGCTTTTTGGAAAAGCCGATTATTTTTTTTTTTAATTTTAAATATTTTTTATTTCCGTACAGCTCGAAGAAAGGGTGGTCGTAGAGGTAGACGTTTGTAATTATACATCAAAAGGAGCGAGCAACGTCACATCTATTTTTATTATTATGTATTGTCTTTTACTTTAATTATGTTAATGATAATGATAATAAAGACAGTTCGAATCTGACTTTTTACAGATGAAAATTTTAATTTTATAATTAATGTGATTAGATAAATACAATAAATACAAAAAAAAAAAAAGTTAAACCCCAAAACTTTTCAAATATCTTAAACAAATACTATTTAAAAGGGTTAAATGTGTTGCCTCCTCAATTATAATTTCACTCGATCAGAGCGTTAACAGCTCTTCCAATGATGAGAGTTGAAGGAGCCACGACACGTTCTTTTTCTACCACTTCACCCAACGTAGCGACCGTAGCGTGAATGATACGTTCATTAGGACGACTCCCATTCTCCACAAAAGCAGCAGGAAGGTCGTCGGGATAATTATTATTTAATAATTCTTTAGATAATTCTTTGGCCTTTCCAACCGCCATAAGCACGACAGTGGTACGCATATCATGATACTGAGGAATTTGTGGTAATTTACCTTGGGTCCCTTGTCCAGTAATAATCAAAACCTGATCAGATAAACCTCGATGAGTAACCGGTACATTGGCTGACACAGGAGCAGATAAGGCACTACTGATGCCGGGTACAACTTTCACTTCATAACCTTTTTGCTTAAAAAAAGAAACTTCTTCTCCTCCTCTACCAAATAAAAATGGGTCACCAATCTTTAATCTTACAACATTTTTGCCTTTTTCTAAACCTTCTAAACACCAATTCTGTATCTCTTTTTGTGATTCTTCAGATTTGACGGATTTTTGTGGACCAGATTTTGCTGAAGCTAAACGTATTTCACATTTTATTACGGAAAAGATTTCTTTAGGAATCAAAAGGTCTGATACAACTAAATCCGCATTAGACAAAGCTTCAGTCGCCTTATGGGTTAATAAAGAAGGATCTCCTGGGCCCGCTCCAACCAAAATTAATTGACCCTTCTTCGTCTCTTTATGCTCATCTTCAAGATTCATCTCTTTCGTTACCTCCTCCGATTTGTCAATTAAAAAGGTTTCTTGTTTAATGGTGTTAAAACTTGGAATTACATGTTTCTCATAATAAGGTAATAAAGCTTCAATCACGTTATTATCCAATCGTTTTAAATCCTCAATTGACCAATCTTCACAAATTTTTGACATCCATTGCATCCGTTTACTTGAAGATTTGTAATCCGAATCAATTTCACGTATACTTTGCCTTAAATTACCAACTTTATTAATAGCCTCACCAATACCATTGGGAAGGTTTTTAGAAATATGTCTACGAATAATATTAGCTAATTTAGGTCCTTGACCGTTGGTACTAACAGCAATTTGTAAAGGACCTTCCCTATGTTCTGACATAAAATAAAAATCACATAGTGGTGGTACGTCGGCTACATTGATTGGAAGTTTTTTTTCTTTACTTAATTTATAAATTTCTTTGGACTTGATTGGATCATCTATTGCCGTTAATACCATGTCAATGTTGTCTTCTAAATCTATTGGATCAAATTCTCTATTTATATACTTATAAATTTGATCCTTTGATATACGAAACTTTAATTCCGGATGTAATCCCTCTTCGGGACAAACTAACGTTACTTTTGCATCAGCTTCAAGTGCTTTTAAAACCCTTCCACATGCTACTTCTCCTCCTCCAACGATCAAAATATTCTTGGAATTTGTACGCCAGGCTAACAATAAGGAACCTCCTGTTCTAACGGGTGGGTATTCTTCTGTTATCGTTGCTTCAGGATTTGACATATTTATTAGGAATAGAATAGGAAATAATTATTTTAGCCGCGATCTTAATATGACGCAAAGTTGTAATAGAAAACGAAATCGAATCGATCTAAAAAATTGGATTTATCGATAATCGGAAAAAAAATCCATTTTTTAATGGCGCAGTAAGCACGGGTTATCATCACAAATTAACGCATTTACCTATAACGGGAAAAGCCAAACTCGAAACTCTAAATCCCAAAAGGTAAATCTCGAATTCCAAAATATATTTTTTATCCCCTTCTGGGTCTTTTTATTTTTTTTTATTTATTTTTATATTTTTTTTTAAATTTTTTTTCTTTTTTTTTTGTTTAAGTTTTTAATACTTTTTCTTTTTCTGAACTTAAATGAACCTGAACTTGAGGTAAATGAGGACTTTGGGTAGATGTTTTTTAATTAGAAATTTTATTTCTTTATTTTTAGGATGTCAAATTTGAATTACTAGATGTGACTTGGGTAAAATAGGTAAAATAGGTAACTTGGGATGGTGTAGAATAATTTGTTAGTTATACTTTTATAAAAAACTAAATTTACTAATTTACCTTTGTAGGACTCTTGAGGTCTTGGTTAGAAATTAGATTAAGAGTAAGCATATTTAAAGAAATTGATTAATAGTTTTTTTTTAATTTAAAAATAAAA